CGATACTGGTGGCAAGGCAATGCTGGAGGCGATACTGGTGGCAAGGCAATGCTGGAGGCAGCGCTGGTGGCGATACTGGTGGCGATACTGGTGGCAAGGCAATGCTGGAGGCGATACTGGTGGCAAGGCAAAGCTGGAGGCAGCGCTGGTGGCGATACTGGTGGCAAGGCAATGCTGGAAGCGATACTGGTAGCGATACTGGTAGCGATATTAGTGGCGATACTGATGGCAAGGCAATATTAATAATAGTATAAATAATAATAAAGTTAAAATTAATAAGGTGTTAGTAAGGTGTTAATAAGGTTTTAATAATAATAATTAATAAAGTTAATAGTAATTTAATTAAGTATAATAATCGAATTATAAGGTATAGCAACCGAGTGCACTCGGTTGTAGTAGTAGTAGTAGTAGAATTCGTTTAACGTCCACGGGTCGCTTTCTACAGCGAGTCCTATAACCACTTTAAGGGTATATAAAACGTGCAGCTAGTCTTTATATATATAAGAGCACAAGACGCATATAGTGTAAAAGCAGATCTCGAGAGAATAGTATAAGTACAGCGGTGTTTCTTTTTATTGTAACGGTGTGTAAAGAATATATTAAGCAAGCATATAAGCGAGTTTTTATAAAAGACTAAAGTTAATGTCGTCTGCCGAAGCAAGCTACGCGAGTAGCTGAGTTCATGACGAAGCACTTAAGCTCGTTTAATAAGAAGAAAAAGAAAAGAAAGAAAGAAAAGTTGCTAGATATAAACTAGAAGCTAAATGAGTATAAGCTTTCGTAATAGTGTTTCGATATGCAAGATCGACTTGCTATTAGTACCGAGAGCAGATTTTAAAGTAGAACTCCGTGATTTTTAAAAGGCTATAAAAGTCAATTAGCGAGGCTTTAAAAGAGCGTATATAAGCAGTCGCTTCTCGCGAAGTAGAAAGCGGAATAAGTGGTCGTGTTTTTTTAAGCTATCGATTAAAAAAGCGTTGCGACTTTTTATAAAAAGCAATATATATCGAAGACTTGTCTTTTTAGCAAAAGCAAATGGTTTTCGCGTTTCAATAACGATACTTCCGATAGTATTACGCAAAGTCGTTATATTAAATGCGTAAAACGAATAGTTTATTTAAAACGTGCTTAAGCAAGTGTAGTTTTAATAAAGCTTTACTTGCGTACTCGAGACTTTAATCGCGATATTAAGTAAAGAGCTTCGCTTTGCTCGTACTTTTTTATTTCTCTTAAGCTTAATCGATTAAAGTTTTAATAATAGACTTAATCTCGGACGCCGTAAGCTTAAAAGTAAAGCTTAATACAAGCTTAAGCTTTGCTTTTTCGTCGGCGAGCCGATCCGCCGTTTCGTTGCTAATAATACCGGTATGTTTCGAAGCTTACTTAACGTTAACTTTCAATTGTTTTATTACTTTTTAAATGCATAAGAACGCTTATTAAAAAGTAGCCGAAGCTATACTTCGTATATATTAGATTACGGACGTGCTGTTTATATACAGCTATATACAGCAATAAGTAAGGTTTAATAAAAGCCGAATAGCGTGCTTAAGCGTTTTTTAAGCTTTTATTGCTTTTGCGTTAAAGACGTGCGATAAGTTGTTAATAACTCTTTTGTTTATAGCAATCTTTTTTTGTTTTTAATAAATAGCGTATTTATATCCGACGTATTTATGTTCGTTTTTATATTGCTTTAAGCTGTTTAAAAAAAAAGTGATGTTTCGATCGATAAGTTATGCTTATTACTTTTTAAAGTTTTTAACGGCTTGCTTTTTTTTAACGCTTTAAATAAAGTCCGTGCGGCATTTAATTAAGAAGTAAAGATAAGCTAGCTTTAATTATAAGCAAAAAAAGAGTATAGCTTTTAGTTTTTAGAGTTTTGTTTTAATCCGTTATCGAAAGCCGGTAATAAGACTTTTAATGATTATAAAAAGAAAGATGCGCTTTATTATCGAGTGAGCTTCGTTAATTATTCGCAGCCGTAATACTTGTCGTACTTTAATCTTTTAAAATGCTATTTCTTTAAAAGAAAGTCCGGCGTCTTTTAAAAAAGTAATAGTTAAAGCTATGCGTTAAATAAGAAAGACTTTTTTCGTTGCGTAAGTAATAATTTTATTAATCGTATCGATATGCTTTTTTAAGCTCGCGCTAACTTTTTTGTTTAAATTATTTTTAATCAAATATCGTAAAAGCTTCGTTCGTCTTTCGTATTAAACTTCGGTGCCGTATAAGATCGATAGCAATACGCAAGTGATAATTGCTTTGAGTAACGCGTAAGCGAAAGGATTATCTATCGTGCGAGCAAAGCTTTTAATATAAAATACTACTTATCGAGCTTTTTTAATTCTTTCGGATAAGTAGCGTTTAAAAGTTATTTTTCGATCGAATTATATTTTAAGTTATCGTAGCTTCGAAATAGCTCTTGTTATCGAAAGCTGCGCTTGCGAGCTTAAAATGATGTTTATCTTATTTAGCTATAGAATAATTATATTTAAAGCAAAGTTTTCGTTTTTATAAAAGAAGTAAATTATTTTTATTTTTTTTAAAGCGAAGAAGATTTGGTTTTTTGCTTCGTAAGTTAAGATGCTTTAAATGTTCGTAACGAAGAAAGTGATATTAGATATAAAAGAATATAACGCTTTATAAATATAGATATTATTAGCGTATTCGAATCGCAATATCGCGTTTTGATTAAAGAGTTCTGCGAAGTATAGCATGTATAGAACGAGCGATAAAAGCGATCTTTAAAGTGTATTGTATTTTACGTCGTAGCGGTTCGTAACGGCACTTTCGAAACGTACTTAAACTTATCGGTCGCTAAGAAAAGAGTAGATAAGCTTTAAAAAAGGAAAAGGCTAGCTTTGCTTATTTATACGCTTAAAAAGCCGGCGCTTAAGTACAGCGTCGAAAGCTTTTTAAACGTCTAGTATTATTATCGTAATAATCTTGCTTATTAAGAAAGCTGCTTCGATATCGTAAGTGAAGCAAACTATAAGGTTTATAATAAATCGCTTAAATAAAGCTCCGCTATGTTAAAAGCTTAAAATGCTTAAAGTTAAAGAAGTTTAAGCAATTCGCTTAGCGATAATGCGCTTTAAGCTTTTAGATATACAAGAAAGAAGGGCTATAAAGCGTTACGAACGTATCGAAGTTTTGTTTTTTTTATTTATTTTAAGTATTATAATTACTTTCGCTAGTTTTTAATAAGTTAAAAAGAAGTTGTGCTTAAAGCAAGCGTTAAGTAAAGCGTAAATATAATATCGAATATGCTGCTAAACCTTTTTTAAAAGTCTAATAATGATCCGGTCCGTACTTAATAAAGTGCTAGTTACTTTTATAATGCTCCGTTTTATTTCTTCGAAAGTGACGGTTAAGTCTTACGGCAAGTGCTCCGTACTATTATATTAAAATTCTTTCGGAAAGTCGTTTTTAACGTTAAAACGGCCGAGTATAATCCGTCGTAATAAGTTTGCTTTTTTTTTAATGTTTTATACGATAGCTTTTTTATATATAAAAGAAAGAGATTTAAAGTTAGTAATCAGTTTATGCTAGCCGATTACTTTGTATAAGTCTTTGTCGTTTGCAACTTTATTTAATACTTGCATTTAATAATCTTTCTTAGCTTTGCGTATAACGTTGCGGAAGTACTTAGTTTCGTTTATTAAGATACGGTCGGTAAAGTTTTAACGCGTTTCGATATGTTCGTAATAAGCCCGTTTAACTTTCGAAATCTATTAAAAAGTTGTTTTGCTTATATCTCGATAAAGTATGCTAACGGCTTTAATTGCATTTTTAAAGATCTTTACGAAAGCTAAAGCACTTTTTCTAATTTATGCGGAATCGTAAAAACTCGAAAAGTTAAAAAAAGTGTTTATACCGTTACGTATAAGATCTTCGAATCTATTTATATTTTTATCCGTTATTTTCTTATAAAACTAGTTTATTAGCACGCGCTTTCGTTTCGAGATCGTAGTAATTAAAGTCTAATAGTTTAAAGTGTTATGTAAGTCTTTTCGTATTACCGTAATAGCGTGCGGTATATTTAAAAAAGTAAAGTTTAAAACGTAGCCGAGCTAATATATAAGTTCTTTTAACACGCCGATAAAGTTTATGCCGTTCGTTATAAATTAATCCGCAAAGTCTTTTCTTCGGTAAGCGGTCCGAACTTTTAGTTTAAATATTTCGTATTATATATTGAAGTCTTTTTTTATTAAGCACTTATGATTAAAGATAAAGTATAAAACGTAATCGATGATTTTATTAAAACGTATTCGAGCTAATATATAAGTTCTTTTAGCACGTTAATAAAGTTTATGCCGCTCGTTATAAACTAATCCGCAAAGTCTTTTCTTCGATAAATGGTCCGGACTTTTAATTCGAATATCTTGTATTATATATTAAAGTCTTTTTTTATTAAGCATTTATAATTAAAAGTAAAATGTAAGACGTAATCGATAACTTTATTAGTAGTCGGTTGTTTATAAGTGTTAAAGATAATATATCTATTAATATCGATTTAAAGTATATCTTTACTTTAAACCGGTCGTCGCTACTTTATATAAAGTCTAGCTCTTTTACGAATATATATAAAGATTCGAAGTCTTTCGGCTTCGAAGTTATCTTTCGAAGTTCTTTATAAGTCTATTAAAAAGTAGATATTAAAAGCGAAGTGTGTTTGTTTTTTTATAATAAAGTAAGTGATTAGTTCTTATACGTATATTATATTTATTTTATGCTTATACGCTAAAAAGAGTATAATCTAATAATTAAGTGTAAAGCGTTTTATATTAGCTTATCCGACGTGTATATCGAGTGTAAACCGTATCGTATAGCCGTAGCCGGTTCGTATCGATGTATTACTTATTAAGTAAATTAAAAAGTGAATTCGTCTTTCGAGTCCGCGTTTGCGTTCGTTAAAAGTAAGATCTTAACTTGCTTGACTTTAAGTTTCTGCTTAATTATTTTATAATTACTTTAAGCTTTTAAGCGATTGTTAAAAGTAAAGATAAAGATCGAAGTTATACGTTCGTATTCCGTTACTTTTAATCTTGCGATGCGCTTGCGCGTTATAAGAGCTTTCGCCGTGTCCATATTTATAATATTAATTGCTTTCGAGCTTTATAATTAACGTAATAGTAGTAGTAGTAGTAGTATTCGTTTAACGTCTACGGGTCGCTTTTTACAGCGAGTCCTGTGACCTTCCTAAAGATATACAGACGTGCAATTAATCTTTATATATATAAGAGCACAAGACGCA